CAGGCACTGTCAAAAAACCCAAGCGCTGCCCTCTGGCTGTTTCACTTTCTGCTACTGATGGATTCGTAGAGGCGCTCGGACCCTGTTCTCCAGTTTCGGTGGCTGTCCCAGGGTAAAAAAGTCCTTTCCAATAGGAGCTGGGGGGGCGGGCGGTTACCTTTCACGGGCTTCTCTCGGGCCTTTCGTTTCTTTTTCTGGAAAAGCAGACAAGAAGCCGGGCAGGTGTGTTATTTTATCCCTGCTCCGCTGAGGACGCAAAGCAGAAATCACTGGATCAAATCTCTACCCTGTGCCACGCTGGAGGCAGCCCCTTCTGGGCACCCCATTACCTGTGCCAGCTTCTTAGCCCTGCCGAGCTAAAAAGCCAGGGATGGGGAGGTGGGGCTGTGACAGACTCAGATCCCCCATGGATGGGGGACTTGTGACACCAGTGGGTCCATGGTGGTGGGGGCACATACTTCCCCCATAGCTCCAGCCTCCCCCACTTCTTTTAAAAAATATCAACATGTAGGGGGTCTGGCTCAGGGGTGCTGCCAGAGGCTGCTCCCGCCCCTACTCACCCTTCTGTGCCGCTATGGTGCCCTGGGGCCGGATGGCGCCGACCCCCGCCACGCGGCAGCTGCGGCATCTCAGCAGCCCGGTCGCCACGAGTCTCAGAGCCATCTGGGTTTGCTTCTAGTCGGGAAGGGAAACGGGAGAGGGGCTGCTTAGGGGTGACAGCCAGACACACTGATAAATCACGGTCACGCGGCAGGGTGTAGACGGGTCCCGCTGATCGTGTAAGCATGTACCCCGATGTATCACCTGAACGCTGTAACATGGTGCGGTCTCCACGACAAGGCAGGACGGGTCAGCTGTGTTGCAGCCGGGTCCCTCCCATGGGTTCTGGTGCGTGGAGGGGACCCGCAGCACCGCTTGTTGCTATGCTAAGGGGCAGCACCGCTTGTTGCTATGCTAAGGGGCAGGGATGGCCCAGACACACAATCCACACTGGATCTCTGAGCCAAGCCCCACCTCTGGGTGGGGAGTGGGGTCTAGTGGTTAGGGCGGGGGGGCTGGAAGCCAGGACTCCTGGGTTCTGTTCTTGGCTTTGACTCTCCTCCCAGTACAGCTCCCCACGGATTCGGGGTGGGGCTCTGCTAATGGACCCAGCGCCAGGATCGGGGCCTTCGTTAGGTTACAAGCCCCGGGGGGGGGGGGTGCAGAACCTGTGCATTAACCCCCTGGCTGCCAGCCCCCAGCCCCTTTGCTTTAGCTGCCGGGGGGAGGGAGAGGGCCAGGCATCGCCCAGCTGCGGGAGCCGGGGGCGGGGGGGGCCAGACC